CCAAAGCAGGTACTGAACACACAAGAAATGTACCTACGCATAACACAATATAAGCATAACACCACAAACCAAAAATAAGCAGATGAAAGAATACATACCAGCCACGACATCGGGTGCTGCGCGGACCTCCTCCGCTGTCAACTGGAAGGCTCTCCCGCGAGCCTTTGGCGCCTAAGCCTTCACTGGCCGACTCTCCGTAGCTCGCACGGCAGCAGGGACAGATCCCTGAGAAGCTCCCTGAGCTGACCCTCGCAACTGCGGACACTCTGCCTTCCGGTGTCCGGTCTGGTTGCAGTGAAAACAAACTGCAAACCCCTTGGGGCAATCCTTGGCCATGTGCCCCTCCTTGCCACACTTGTAGCAAGACCCTGCTCTACAAACTCCCTCGTGACCCTTGCCGCACTTGCCACAAGTGCGGCCCTTCTGGTTCCCTGATCTCGAATCGGCGGGCTTGGCCCGCTTGGCTGCCGGCTGGGACTGTGCCGGTCGCCGATCTCTCCCCTGAGACTCCGCCTCCTCTCTAGCCTGAGTCTCTAGCTCTATCTCCCTCTTCCGGGCATTTTCCTGAAGCTCAGCAAATGTCCGGTATGACGAGTTCGCCACGAACTCTCGTATGTCCCTCCTCAGAATACTCAGATACCGACTCATACGTGCCTGCTCGGTAGACACGTGCTCAGGGCAAAACATCGCCCTCTCATGGAACATCCTGGTGATCACAGTAACAGACTCAGTACCCTGCTTGAGGGTCAGAAACTCCTGGGCCAAACGTTCCCTCTCCACCGGGGGAACGTACTCATCACGAAACATAGCGGTGAACCTCTCCCAGGTCACTGCGGCAGACTCTGCAGGTGTGTAGTGCGCTGTCACAAACTTCCACCAGTCCTTCGCTCCCAAGCGAAGCTGGTTCAGTGCGAACCGAACTCTCAGATGCTCCGGACAAGAACACGTATAAAAGCATCCCTCAATATCAGAAACCTATCTCATCGCAGCAATCGGATCCTGCGTCCCATCAAACTCTGGTGGTTTCGTGTTGCTGAACTCTCGGTATAGCAACGAGTCACCCCCCTGCGGCCTGGCAGCAGCGACGGCTGCGGTGGCCGCAGCAACAGCACCCTCAGTGAGAGCAGCGTACCGCTCATCAAAAGTCTCGATCAACGTGGTCTTGATAGACCCGAACATCTCTGGTATCTCAGCTCGGATGGCCGCGGCCACCTCCTTGTGAATCAGCCTACAAATCTCCTCATCACTGGTACCACTGGTGCCACTGCCCCCTGGGTGATGGCGCGTCCCAACCATGATGTCTCTGAAATACAACACAAAAGGAATCAGAGACTCGCTCGAGTATATCCGCACCCGATACTCGACCCTACTTGCTCTCTTAGTACCCAAAGGATTCTTACTTAGAGTGCGCACTGCTCCGGTGTCTTCAGTAGTACGGGCCCTATATTACCGTCCACACCGCATCAGTATTCACCCTAAGTCCTCCTCCTTGGATCCCAGGTCACCAGTACTCCATATCTCACAAAACTCAGGTTACTCTCAAGTAAACCACTCATAAGTTCCTCGCTGCTACCTACTTACTCTCGAAGCATCTCATAGTAGCAGTAACTCATAGGCTAAGGCATCACAGATTAGGCCACTCTAGTCCTAATAGTAACACCTAGCCTACTCTAGCATGCATATCATATCATAACACATCTTATAACACATAATGTAAGGGTATTTTGGGAAATCACCGTTCAGGCGCTAGTTGATCGTACACACTGCTCTGCCCCTGATCTTTTCAAAATCTTTTTACTCTTTTATAAAATTTGTTTATTTTATGAAAACTTTTTCAATTCCTCAGTTTTAGTTCAGATTCATCCGAAGACGCACCCGAATCCCTCAAACCAAGGCTCTGATACCAACTTGTAACACTGTAAATTTCAAAACAATTTTTCGCTTTTTAAAATATAATTTCATTCATAAATATTCTCAAATTCCAATGTATCACATATCAAATCCATAAAAACACATCCCAAGATCATAATATATAAAACTCCAATAGTGTGTACTGATCATGCCGGCGCCTTCCCGCGATCCTCACTGGTACCTGAAACACATAACACAAAACACTGTAAGCATAACTGCTTAGTGAGTTCCCCAAAATACCACACACAACACATATTAGCCACTCGAGGCTATAACTCTATTTGACCCTCTGGTCAATATGTCTCAGTGGGACCCTCCAGTCCCATAACTCTGCGGGCCCTCTGGCCCTAACTCTGTGGACCTTCCGGTCCTAACTCTATAAACTCTGAACATACATAGCATAAATCACATAGAAATCACATCATGCAAAAGCATACAAAATACTCTATCACATAACTCTAATTACCACCGTAGGTAAAGTATAGTGAGAAGACTCACCTCGAGTAACTCGGTAAACCTCAAACTCTGAAATACTGCACTAGCCTTCACCTAATCACATAAATAAATTCTCTAATTAATACAACTTCTAAAGGCTAGGCCAACTCCTCTCTATAAGTTCTCTAAGAGGGGTAAAAGACCATTCTGCCCCTCTAATGGCTCATAAGTCCAAACACTGACTAATCCCTAAATGTAAACAGAAGTCAACAGTCAACATTGACCAGAGTCGCCGAGTGCACTAGAGTGACTCGGCGAGTACATGCCTGCCTCCTCGTCCCTGGTCCTCACTTGACTCACTGAGTCAACCCTATACTCCCCGGGTCGTTACAGATCGTGAATCACGGGGCAACCCGACTCGACTCGTCGAGTCCCTTATGGACTCGGCGAGTTCCTCCCATGAAAACTCTCAAAAGATCTCTTGAGGTCAGATCTGCTTCACCAAACAGTAGATCCATCCTTCTAACATTCAAAAGTCACGTAAAGGGGCAACCTTTACGTGCATGCAACCCATATCAAGCCTCAAATGGAGAAATATCACTAGAAATGGCAACCTAGTCTCCAATTGCTTATTTGCTTGCAAAAAGCTAGAAGGTAGTGACTCTATGGACCTCTCAAGGTCCATATCTGATATCATCAACACAAACGGGACCTCATACTCACTAGATCTTATAAAAAAGGGAGGTAAAAACCCTAAAATCATGAAATCTATCATATCAATACGAAATAGAAGGGATTATACCTCCAGAGACAATATCTCAAGATGATTAGCTCCAATCCAAGCTCCCTTCACGTTCTAGATGGATCCTCTCTTCTTTCTCTAGCAAAAATCACCCAAAAAAGAAGATTATAAGCCCTTTCTTGCACTCAAGCCTTCCTAACTCTCTCTAGGGTTTCTCTGGAACAAGTTGGCCTCAAATGACGGCCATAAGGGCCTTTAAATAGGGCACAAGCCCCGAAAATTAGGGCTTCATTTAACAGCGAGGACTCGCCGAGTCCACGCATGGACTTCCCGAGTCCCTTCATTAAATCCAGGCTGGCAGAAGCGCGATTCCACTCGACGAGTCTGAGCGCCTACTCGCCGAGTCCCTTTCTAAAATTCAACAAAATACTTAAAATAAGATACCTGGGTATCCGGATGTTACAAATCCTTTTGATTGGATTTCAATTCTTAACATTGTTTCAAGAGAGCCTGTCAATTATGAACCCATGTGTTCGCATATGAAGAGGTTGATAAAAGCGTATATTGATGAGATCGCAAAGATGGAATTTGAAATCTCATCAGTTTTGAACAGAAGGCCTATCATAAAACCAATGGATCCTCCTGAAAATATTGATTCTATGAAGGTTGGGTTCATTGAGAATGAAAACTGGGAAGTGGTATTCAAAGTGATAGAAAATGAAGTTCCAAAGAAGTGTATGTTTTATTTGATTAATAAGAACTTTTATTCTTCTGTGCCTTTAAATCAAATCTTGTCAAATGCGGAGAAATATAAGAAAATTTCTTCTGATGATTTGAGATGCGTTTCGGATATGATCAAGTGGTGGAACGGAGTTCGTTGTGTTCTGTTGAAGATAATGCCGAAAGTGTTTGATTCTACGAAGAAACCAGAAGTAAAGTCAACTGAAGCAAATTGACACAAAAGGGGAGATTGTAGAGTTCGTAGTTTTTGTTGTGTTAACTTGTATTGGTCTGTTTTGTAATGTCTTTACTTTGTGTTAGTCAAGTTGCGATCTCGCACTTTTTGTTACCTTAAGTTTGCACCGTAGCTGTTGACTTGAGATGCATTTCTTATATTCCTATGATGCCTATATATAGGAATATTAAGTAAAAGACCGGGTAAGAGTTTTGCAGATAAAATAGTTCTTTACCATGTATCCAATTGTTCTGACTTACTCGTTAATGAAATTGAAATCTTATTTACATCGTGTGTTCCTGTGAATCTTATCTTTATTTGAATCGTGAATCTAAATGTTCCTTCAAGCGAAAACTATGTGCTCAAGTTGTCCATAAAGACAACTTGGCTTCAAGCTTCATATACAACTTAGGCAATCAAAACAACTAGGGCTACCAATTAGCTTGGTTGTCAACAACTTTGGCTATCTAGAAACTTGAGTTATCTCAAGAAAAGCAAATATTTTTTGTTTCTTCAAGATAACATGAATCTAAGCATGTTTTTCCACTATATTCCAAGTCCAGAATTCCATTGGGATTTTGGGGCATTACCCCAAAACCTACGAGGGTGTTGCCCCTTGAATTTAGCCTTTCGTTGTGTTCAGTGTAAAATCGCACTTTATACAATGTACACTTCGGACCTCCTCAATTGTATTAGATCATAGGTTAGCATCATTTTAATTCTAGTGACACTAAAACAGGATAGATATGAATTATATCCAACGTGCAACGTGTTTGATCCTTAAGAGAACAATACATCCTGTAAATGTAGCATCCTATACATGAAGTTAGCATTTATGACTTACGGACGAAAATACGTTCATATGATTTTCTTGCCCGTTTAGACGATTAAAAACATGAATAGTATTTTTTACTGATCTAGAACACACCAAAACATATATTTTGAGTGAAAACAACATAAATAACAAGGATGTGTCCATTTCTTCTAATTAAACATCAAATATTTTACACATTGTAGAAACGGTTCATATACATGCTAGCATGCATGCACTAAATATAGTCTTTGCTTTCCCTTAATTCCACAAATGCCCGAAAAGAAAAGAAAGAAAGAGAAACTAAAATACCAATGCGTCATCCACATATTAAGCAAGTAACATTATCAACACAAATTTGTTTTCTTTTTCTTTCCTTGCCGGGCATTTCAGATTTTGGAAACAACACAAGAGCATGCATCAACCAGATGAAAACTGCTGGTGTAGTAGCAGTAAATTTGATGAGCGCTGGACTTCAAAATACACCAAGCAATTAAAGTCCACCACCAAATGCTGGAGTCCAGAATTCGGCACCATTGCTGGTCATATTGGTGGTGTCAATATGATCTATGTAAGTGGTTGGGACCAAGCATAAACCTCTACTCCCCAGGTCCTTTAGTGGTGCCTTTCCGTCCTACATAAAACTATTTTAAAGTTCCTTTTCCTTAAAAGAGAATTAAAACGCACAACTAAATTTAATGTAATGATCAGCAATCAAGAACTTAGTTGGAAGTCAAATTAATTAATCACTAATTAACTGCCTTTTGATGCAATCCCGAGGTAATTAAGTAAACCATTCGATTGATTAATAATTTCATCGAACTAAAGTCGAGAATCATGTCTCCCACTTTATGTAAAATGATATTTTAAGAGAGCAAATAAGTGATGGATCCAATAATGTAATTAAACCTGATCTGGCTACTTTCTCTACTTTATATAAGCACATTTAATAACATTTAGTTAGTTAATATGTAATTTATTAATGTAGGTTGAGGTGTAAGATCCTGCATTGGGAAATGGGTATTAAAGAGAAAATGGATATATGGGCAACTTACAGCAGAATGTTGGTGTCTCGTGCCTCCTGAGACATTATTGGCCAAGTTCATGTACGGGGAGCTAAGTGCCTGCATGTTAATTTGCAGTTGAGGAATGTTGAAAAAGCAACAACTTTTAAGTGCACGCTCGTCTCTAGTATGGTGTCTGTAAAACTTCGAAAAGAAATAAAGAAAAAATGTCACCTCAATTTGACCCTCAAGGAATCTGATATGAGCTGTGGCTTCAAACAATACAGAAGCTGTGTCAGTCTGCAAAAAGTCCCACACAAATATATATATCCTTTTCAGGTTCAGATCCTTTGAATATTTGAAACTCAAATAATTAAATTACGGGCGAATTATTCAAACAAATTATATGATTACATCTCACGATTGTCAGCTTATTCGCCACTTACTTTTATGATTTTATGTTATCTAAATAAGATGTCCAAAAAGCATGTGTGTATATAGATAAACACACACAGATATATATTTTTAGGACTTTGAGAGTGGGTAGATATATAATATATTTGGGGTATTAAGTTTAATTTAAAGAGAAACGTCCTGAATATATAGATTAAGAATACATAACATTTGATCAGAGTAATTTATGGATGAAAACACTAGCAATTTAAATTTCTGTATCAATATCAAAGTAGATAGATTTATGTAGTTAATTATATTCACATGGAAGAGTTTCCTTACCTTTCCGAAAGGTGAAACAAGTTGGTGCAAAGCCGATATTCTGTCACCCAATTTCTCCTTTCTCACCTATTATATATATCCATATTGTCAAAGTTAGAAGAAATTGTCAGTCATTCACATAAAACATAAAAAATCAGTAAGGGTATAAAAGCTAGATATAAACATAGTATGGTGCTCATTTTTTTTTATGGAAAATGCCTACTTTAATGGACCACACCTCAGGTTGTAGGTGAAGTATACATACACACATACAAAAATTTATCTCCATTGAAGAATGTCAATTATTTTTCTACGCAAAAATTGTCAAAACCAACGCAAAATAATCATATAGGTGAATGTCATAACATATCGCGTAGATTTTTGGCATTCTAGTGGTGCAAAAAAAAGTGCCATACTGAATTGTTGATATATGTAGAATGAACGTCAAAAATATATGCTTAGGAATTAGGAAATATATATATATATATATATATATATATATATATATATATATATATATATATATATATAGATATATGAGAGAGAGAGAGAGAGAGAGAGAGAGAGAGAGAGAGAGAGAGGTTTCCACCTTTAGAGGGGTTTGGGTCGACGAGTGTTGTGCTCTAGTCCTTTTAGAAGCTCCACTTGTAAATGTGTCGTTACACTGCTTTCATAACAAAAGTACAGCTATCAAAGAACTAGCTTTGCTATATTTATAGTCACCCCAAATCAAGAAAAGAAAAACCAATGAGAGGAAAGAGTTTCGTTGATTAGATGTTCTGTACGTATACTTACCATTGTAGAAGGTTGGGTTGAAGACGATTGAAACCTGGGCTTTTTAGACGCCCCACTGGTAGATGTATCGTCATACTTTGATATAAAAACAAGAACCCATGGACACCAAGCAAGAATAAAGAAATTAAAACCCCAACGTTAAGAGTAAAAAAAGCACACTATGAACGGATATCGTGCAGTATATAATCTTTTTGGCTGGATTACATATGTATACGTACCTGAGATGAATATTGATTAGCATTGTGATTTCGGCGATCGGTTTTACATGTGAAATCAACCATAGTGGTGGTGCTTAAACTCATGGTAGAAGATGAACCAACAGATGGAACTGGATTTAGTTGAGGTGACCAAGAAGAGCTACAAGTTTGTAGATCTTCTTCGTTATTGTTCTCATGATGATCAGGTTTATTATCATAAAAATGTTGTCTGCTTTGTTGATCCAAAAATCCGTTCTTTACTTCACCACCATGCCCATCTCCCATGTTGTGTTCTTCATCGTTTGCTAATCCAGTCCTGGATGTATACAATAAAAAATACATGAACCCACTTTTGAAGATAAATTTGCTCATCAGATACAATGAGCCCAATGATATTATATAAGTTAAATATCGGCAGAGAGCATATCAGAGTGATGGAGAAAAAGCAAAATAACTTGGAAACCATGCATGATTGAAATAGTGGAAAGTAGAAAGAAGCGTTAATTACAGAAGTAATTGGCTCCATGAGACTGGGAAATCTTGGTTATCATGGTGATGATGATCACCCAAAGTATTAGAGTTTGCAGCAGGAAGTAGTAAAGAAGAACCAAAAAGATACGGAGGATTCATGATGGAAGATGGCGGTGCTACTGGAACCGGCAACGGTGGTGTTGATAAGAAAGTAGGGTAAACCTGCTGTGAGGGTGGTGGTTGCAGCCTCCCATTCAAGCTCCACCAATAATTAGGGTTTTCTCCCATCATCTCCAAACAATAATTCTCTTAGCTCTCAAATACTAGAAGTGAATAACCATAACAGATCAGCTCATGCCTTGTCTGAAAAAAACAAAAAAACAAAACATCTTTAAGGGTCTCTTTTGCTTTAAAGAAAAAACTTTTGTCATAAAATCTTTAATAATTTCTTTGTTTAAGCATCGAAACAAGCCCTTGATAGAAGCTCTCAGGGTTTGTGTGTTTTGCTTTCTAGTCATCATACATATCAGATTAGATGAGATTAAATTGATCACTAACCCTATACCCCACCCCCCAAAGGTCTCCATCAATAAAGTCATTTTTCAAGTTGTGGGGTTGAGAAGTTCGCTACCATTTCTTCATCTTTTCTTTAGTTTAATGATATATTTGTTTTTTGTATTAAAATATTTTACTGTTCTTTAGCTTTTAGCTGTATTACAAAAAAGGTTGGGCACAAAAAAAGGTGGAGGGCAATGGTTTGAGGCACAAAACAAATTACATTTTGGAGCTTCCTTGATTTGGGGGTGTTTTAAACTAGCTAGGAAGTGTTTTGAGTCCTACTATTAGGGTTAGGGTTAGCCTCGCAATATTGGAACACAATTCGAATGCTAATTGTTTCCATAGTAACTCAAGTATCCAGACGTCTATTTCAATTTTTAAAGATCAAGTTACACACAAAAAAGTATTTATCCTAGAAATTACTTTAAAATCAATAACTTAAAACCAAGAGAATTATCTTCATATCTCTTCTTCTTACTTGTTTTCTGTTAATGTAAAATAGTGATAAATGTGATAAAACTAATGATATTTTAAAATATTTGTCATTATTTCATATGGTTATAAGGATAAATATAAATAAAATTAGAACCACATATTTTTGCCAAAGTATATATATATATATATATATATATATATATATATATATATATATATATATATATATATATATATATATATATATATATATATGAGACTTCGAAATTAAATATTTTTTTTTTGCAAAAGAACCTTAAAATACAAGAAATACCAAAGCATATTCCTATTTCTTGCACTTGGGACAAAAACACAATTAAGAACATATAATTACCAAATCAACATGTTTTTATTGATGTCAAAATGTGTTGTTATTTTTAAACTAGGGACCAAACACCAAATTACATTGTTATTTCTTGCACTTAAAATATAAACACAATTACCAAATTAACATGCATTTATTGATCATTATATAAATATATGAGATTTTGAAATTAAATAATCTACATTTTTGTGCTAAAGAACCTTAAATATAAGAATTACCAAAGTACATTGTTAATTCTTTCACTTGGGACAAAAACACAAATACAAACACAATTACCAAATCAACATGCATTTATTGGTGCCAAAGGGCATTGCGATTTTTAAACTAAGGACAAATAAACGAAGTACATTGTTATTTCTTACAGCTAAAACATCGACACAATTACAAAATCAACATGCATTTATTGATCGTTATATGGATATATGCGACTTTGAAATTAAATAATTTTCTGTTTTTGCTAAAGAACCTTAAATACAAGAAATACCAAAGTACATTGCTATTTCTTGCACTTTGGACAAAAACACAACTATGAACACAATTACCAAATCAACATGCTTTTGTTGATGTCAAAGTGCATTGGTATTTTTCAACTAAGGACCAAAAACCAAAGTACATTGCTATTTCTTGCACTTAAAACATAAACACAATTACAAACACAATTACAAAATCAATATGCATTTATTGATCATTATATAAATATATGAGACTTTGAAATTAAATAATCTACTTTTTTGTGCTAAAGAACCTTAAATACAAGAAATACCAAAATACATTGCTATTTCTTGCACTTGGGACAAAAACACAATTACAAACATAATTACCAAATCAACTTGCATTTATTGATGCCAAAGTGCGTTGTGTTTTTTAAACTAGGGACAAAAAACAAAAGTACATTGCTATTTCTTGCACTTAAAACATAAACATAATTACCAAATCAACATACATTTATTGATCATTATATAGATATATGGGACTTTGATATTAAATAATTTACTTTTTTATGCTAAAGAACCTTAAATACAAAAAATACCAAAGTACATTGTTATTTCTGGCGCTTGTGACAAAAACACAATTACCAAATCAACATGTTTTTATTGATGTCAAAGTGCATTGCTATTTTTAAACTAGGGATAAAAAAAACCCAAAGTACATTGCTATTTTTTGCACTTAAAACATAAACACAATTACCAAATCAACATGCATTTACTGATCATTATATAGATATATGAGACTTTGAAATTAAATAATCTACTTTTTTTTGTGCAAAAGAACATTAAATACAAGAAATACCAAAGTACATTGCTATTTCTTGCACATGGGACAAAAACACAATTGCCAAGTGAACATTTATTTATTGATGCCAAAGTGCATTGCTATTTTTAAACTAGGGACGGAAAACCAAAGTACATTGCTATTTCATGCACTTAGGACAAAAAAAAACAATTACCAAAGCTTTTAGTAAATAATCACCACAAACCAAAATTACCATGTATTCTCTCCAAAGTAGCTTTTTCTTCAGGAAGTGTTAAATCTCTTTTACCTGCTGGCCCTTACGTTTGTTCTAAAAGCTCTTCCGCTAACCGATTATGTTTTTTCCAAAAATGATTAACAATTAAGTATAAATAAGCACTTAATTATATGATAAAATTATAAATAAATAGTTACGTAATGTTGTTCCGCCTGGTCATTAAAAACTCCACAATTCTTATCGGTATGAGCTTTGCCGAACGTTTCAACTCTCCTGACGTTCTTCTTAAAATTAAACATTAGATTATATTTTAAATAAATAATTACATATATCGTACGATATATTTTTATTGCAACTACTACTATACGAGCTTGACCCCACACGGTTCACGGATGTTTGCGGTACGCAGACTTTTTTGTTTCTTTCCGAAGCAGCTAGGTGTTCATCCGTTTAGAAATACTCAATTGTTTTCCTCCAATTATCAACATCCATATCATCCGATGGGTAGCTAATGCTATCATAATATCATCATACCATCTGACTTTCAAAAACTATGCTTCTGCGTCAGCTTTACGCTCTTGATAACCTTTTAACAAAGTCGCTTTAAAACTCTCTAACAACATAGCAGCCGATAAAAATTAAACTTCGTCTACAAAAAAAGTAGCCTATATCGGCAACAACATAACCTTTAGCGGCGACATTAAAAAATAGCGACGACTTACACGGAGGGAACGTATGATGCATTTTTTTCGACCTTTAGCGGCGATATTTTTGGCCATTAGCGGTGACTTTTTGTCACCGATATTGGGTTTATGCGAAAACGAGACTCCAACCATTGGATTAGATGTTTAATCGAATGGTTCGGGTTTACCAGAAGGGGGTAACATGGATTCGGTCCACAAGGCATTACCGACGATGCCTTTAGCAGCGACAATGGCCTTTAGCGGCAACAAATTGTTGAGTCGCCATTAAAGGCATCGCCGGTAACGCCTTTATTTTTTGTAGTCATATATATATATATATATATAGATATATATAGATATATATATATATATATATATATATATATATATATAATATATTAAGCCCATGTTCCACCAAAAGCAATAAAAAATTATTCACCATCTACAAATGTTGATGATATAGTAAGCCCATGTGAAACACTCCAAAAATTTCAATAAATTTTAATCTTTCAAAACAACCCATTCACTAAAGAGATATTTACAAAAACCATCGTTTCTAAAACATTATTTAAAATAAAAATCATTCACAACATAACTTTCAAAACATTTTCATTATCAGAGTTTCTCAGAAATCATAAGTTCCAAAGCACGAGGATGTGTACGGCCACGCCTTCATCTTGTCACGGTCCACTAATCTACCTGAAACCATAAACCACAACTGTAAGCACGAAGCTTAGTGAGTTCCCCCAAAGCACCAATCACACCAATAACACATACATAAACAACATGCATACAGAGCCTTCAGTATAACTAGAATGCCCCATCGGCCTACAATCTATCTGGTACGCTCACAGAACCTATTGCATGACTGGTACACCACTTCAAGCCTTCAGCCTATCTGGAACGTTCTCCGTGCCTTCGGCCTGACTGGTACGCCCGACTAGCCTTCACTCTATTTTAGGAACGCCCTGTGTCTGTTGGCCTTCACCTAAAATCAAGACTGCCTCAACCCAACCACACATAACATGTCGACATATACATTACACATAACATGCGGTTAACCAGCTAATAACAAACAGACATATCGAACAGATCAGAATAGCATAGCAACATCCTATCTACCAGGATACCGATCTAACAGGTCATAACAACATAACAACATCTTATCTACTAGGATACCGATCTACCATATCAATAGCATACAAAATAGGATAGCAATCCAAAGGGGCCGACATTGGTGCCTTTGACCCGCAAGTACAGTGAGGAAAAACTCATCTCTCAAGTAGCGTAGAACTGATAAGGTCTGACTCCGAATCTCAGCTCCCGACCCAAATTCCCACCACCACCATGTGACTAATTCCATCAAAACACAAATATACCCAAAATACCCTTAGAAGTCAAACTTGGTCAACCATGGTCAAAGTCGAAGTCAACGATCAAGGTCAACAGTCCATGTTGACCTAACTCGTCGAGTGCACCAATACACTCATTGACTTCCTACCGTAATCAGAAGGTTGGGAAAATTTCAACCAACATGTCGAGTTGGCTTGCAAACTCGTCGAGTTTGCCCGAGCTTAATACATTTAGCTGATCCTACGATTTCAGGGATTCCAAGACTCAGATCTAACCTCAAAAACTATAAAAAAGGATAGAGTTTCAAGCTTTATCCTGTGGGGCTACTCCAAGTGCTCAAAAACCCATCCACAAGGCTTGAAGATTCAAGGGCTTAACCAATAAGCACAAAATCCTTGAAATTAGGAACCCAACCTTTCCAGAAGAGATTCTAGCATCAAAATCGACCCAAAGGTTGGTGGTTTATAGACATGCATGTCCAATGCATTTCTTGAACCCAAAATGGATCAAAAAGGGGGAAATATGACTTAAACTCCATGCATGGCATCAAAACTTTACGAAAGGCCGGATCCAAGTTACTACAAGGTCTCCTTGACCCGGAGATTCATAAAGTTGCAAACTTTATGAGGTCCATCCATTGCAACATCCAATAATAAGGAGAAAAAGGGATAAAAACTCAAGATCTAGCTAC